GATGCTGCTTGGCCTGCTGTGTTCATCCAGCCCTGCACCTTGTTGTCTCGGATTCTCCAGCATCTGCAGTTCCTACTATCTCTCATTTTGTACCCATGTTGTCTGGCCTACTGAGTAGCTGTAAATGCCACCTATAGGTGGCACTAAGAGCATGCACAGGCAAAGAGACCCATTGCATAGGTCTGGAATGATGGAAGAGGCAGAGGCAGACTCCAAGATAGCACCGCTACAAGTAATTCATGGCTCTGGGAAACGCGGGCTGACAAAGAGGAACAGAAAGTTGCATGGGTTCAGAGATTTACATTTCAAAATCAAGCCCTCAAATCAAAGCCTAGCCATTTCTATCCGCTATGCTGCCCTTCTGCACTCACCTCCTGATCTAGTCACACTGCTTCAGGTTCAGCAGCTGGAGAAGGTCAGGCAGGGAGGTGGCTGTAGGAGAACATAGTGAAGGAGAAACAGTACAGTGGCTCAGTGGTTAGCATTGTTGTCTCACAGCACCAGGAACATGGGTTCAATTCCAGCCTCACATGAGTGTCTGTGTAGAGTTTGCACATTCTCCTATTGTTAGCGTGGGTTTCCACCGGGTGCTCCAGTTTCCTCCCACAGTCCAAAATGTGCAGATTAAGTGGATTGGCCATGCTAAATGCAGGGTTACAGGGATAGGTTAGGGGGGTGTGTCGGAGAGTCAGTGCAGACTTGATGGGCCAGATGGTGTCTTTCCACACTGTAGGAATTCTATGTACCCCAGGCCACCATCACATTCCCAACACTCACCCTCTACCCCACTCCCTTTCCTAAACCCCTACATCTGCTCCCACTCCTGGCCTTTGTGTCACTCCCACTACGGTCCCAGACTCTGCCTCAACTCCTCAACCCCTCAGAAATGGCGGACAATGACATTGGTATGTTGTCATCCATGCGTGTGCAGTCACTTCCTGCAACCTATCGTGTCATGGGTCAGGTGACATCACTAACCGTGTCTGTCCACAACTGCATTGTGGATAATCACCCCAAGATCCAGCATGTTTGTTTTTATTTGAGATCTCTAGCATTTGGAGTGCCATTGTTTTCGTAACAGATGCGTAAATTGGCAGTTCACTGCCACAATTTCAGCATCTTACCTCTCCACCACTTCCACTATAATCTCGAAACATCTGCAAATAAGCACGTCCTTTGATGTTGAAGAGAAATCCTGCGGCATAAAATTCTGCTGGAGTAATGGTATGGCCCCCGTCTAAGTCAATTAGGTCAAAGATAGCACGAGAGTGACGATATAGAAACTGCTGCTCCATTTTATCCTGGAACGTTTAAACAAATACTAATTGTGTGTACGCAAGTGACAATTACCAGAAAGCTGTAATAATGGCATTAAACCCTGCTTAACCTTGCAGAGCAGAATTACAGTAAACCAAAATCAACTCTATGGAATACAATTAACTTTTGTTGAACTAATGATTTACTACAATGCGTACAACTTAAAATAATCCTCACAAAGGTACAGATAATAGAACAGCAATTCCTGCCATGCCAGCTGATGGTTTTATTGTTGAGTGAATCCATAATATCACAACATGAATAAGTTAAAAAATATGTATTTGATGTAGCCCAGAGATTTTACGATTGAAAACAGGAAACAAATGTCAAATATCACGAATCTACTTCTTTTTTCAAGGGACTAAAGATACTGTTTGAACTGGGTTGGTAACTGCCCACAAAATCCTGCCTTGCAGTGAAATAACAATGGGCAGAACATTCTCCTCTCTGGTGTTCTGAGGTAAGGTTACTGGACCCAAAACATTAACTTTGATTACTCTCTACACTTGCTGCCAGACCTGCTAAGCGTTTCCAGCAATTTCTGTTTTTGCCTCTCTCTGGTGAGCTGTGAGCAATGACAAGAAAGTGGGGAAAATAGAAACAGGATGAAAAATGTCAGAATCTTGACATTGAGAAAAAATTTTCCACCTAAGCCTTAACTAGTGTCTTCAGACTTCACTATTATGCAGTGTCCACCTTAATTCTAAGTCAAAAATCACACAGTACCAGGTTATAGTCCAACAGGTTTATTTGAAATCACACAAGCTTTTGCAGTGCAGCCTCTTCATCGGGTGCAGTGAGAGAGGAGGGCACACAGACAGAGTTTATCAGCAGAGAGATCAAAAGATCATCCAACTGGTGTGAGTGGAGTGCCAAATAAGTCTCTGCAGGTGACCAAGAGTGTTAGACGGCAAGTGAAGTGTTTATAAAGTCAATATCAGTGCTGTGCTGTAATGGCAATCAGGCAGAGTGATGGGAATCTACAAAAGGTGACATCTCAGGTCAGACACTGAATTGTAAGTGTTCAAAATCTGTCTCTGAGTTTTAACCTGGAATCAGGTTGGTTTAATTCCAAAAGCAGGAATTTATAAGATGCCACACTGACTACAAATTGTGCGTTTTTTTGAACAAAATGGAATGTATCTGCAAATAAACCATCATCTTGGATAAAATGATTCAACCCATGGATTTGTTTGTATGTACACGCGTGTGCGTATGTTTGTGTGTAAGACTGTGTGACCGCATTTGCTCCCCAGTATGCCAACATTTTCATGCACAAGTTCGAGCAAGACTTCTTTGCTGCTTAGGGCCTCCGACCAACGCTATACAGCGGATACATTGGCGACATTTTCTTCCTTTGGACTCATGGCGAGGAATCACTGAAACGACTACGCAGCGATATCAGCAAATTTCATCCCACCATCAGACTTACCATGGGCTATTCTTCAGAATCATTCTCATCTTTGGACACACACATATCCATCGAGGACAGACACCTCAGTGCCTCACTCTACTGCAGGCCCACAGATAGCCACACGAGGTTGCAATTTTCTAGTTTCCACTGTAAACTTATTAAAGAAGCCATCCCCTACGGGCAAGCCCTGCACATACACAGGATCTGCTCAGATGAGGAAGAATGTGATAGACACCTGAAAGTTTTGAGAGATGCCCTCAAGAACGAGAAACGATGCTCAACTCATCAATCGCCGGTTCTACCGTGTCACAGCTAAAAACCGCAATGACCTCTTCAGAAGACAGACACAGGAGACAACTGATAGCGTACCCTTCATCAACCAGTACTTCCCCAGAGCGGAGAAACTATGCCATGTTCTTTGCAGCCTTCAACATGTCGTCAATGACAATGAGCAGCTCTCCAAGATCTTCCCCATGCCTCCACTTCTCACCTTCAAGCAACTACCAAACTTTAAACAGACCATCGTTTGCAGTAAACTACCCAGTCTTCAGGACAACATTGACCACAACGCCACATAACCCTGTCATGGCAACCTCTGCAAGCCATGTCAAATCACATGGACACGGCCATCACACGTGGGAACACCACCCACCACGTGCACGGCGGATACACATGTGACGCGGCCAATGTTGTCTATCTCATAAGCTGCAGGCAAGGATGCCCCCGAGGTATGGTATATTGGTGAGACCATGTAGATGCTATGTCAACGGATGAATGGACATTGTGCAACAGTCACCAGACAGGAATGTTCTCTCCCAGTCGTGGAACACTTCAGCAGTCAAGGGCATTCAGCCTCTGATCTTTGGGTAAGCGTCCTCCAAGGCAGACAACAACACAGAATCGCTGAGCGGAGACTGATAGCCAAGTTCCGTACCCATGAAGACAGTCTCAACCGTGATCTTGGGTTCGTGTCGCGCTACAGGTGACCCCACCACGGTGTTCTGTACCTGTAAAATCTTCCTTACTGTCCTGCTTTGACAGTATCTCCTTGATAAATTTAATGATCTCTCTACCTTAATTAATTGGGATAGTTTTGAATTACTTATGACACACTCTCTCTCACACACCCTCTCATACACACACTCTCTTTCACTTGCTCTCACACTCTCACATACTCGCTATCATGTACTCTCTCTCATGTACACACACTCACACAGACACATTCAAATACACACACTCACCCAGACCCGCTCTCTCACTCTCACTCTCACTCTCTCTCACACACACAGACAAATCTATGGGGTGAATCATTTCATCCAAGATGTTTGTCCGTTTGCAGATACATTCTATTTTGTTCAAAAAAAACACACAATTTGTAGTCAGTCAGTCAGTGTGACATCCTATAAATTCCTGCTTTCAGAATAAAACCAGCCTGATTTCAGGTTAAAACTCAGACAGATTCTGAACAAGGCCTCACACCTACAATTCAGTGTCTGACCTGAGATGTCACCTTTTGTAGATTCCTATTGTTCTGCCTGATTGTCATGACACCACAGCGCTGACATTGACTTTATAAACACTTTACACACCATCTAACAGTCTTGGTCACCTGCAGAGACTGAAAGTCCACTTGCACCAGTTGTATGATCTTATGATCTCTCTACCTATAAACTCTGTGTGCCCTCCTCTCTGACAAAGGGGCTGCACTGCAAAAGCTTGTGTGATTTCAAATAAACCTGTTGGACTATAACCTAGTATTGTGTGACTTTTGACTTTGTCTACTCCAGTCCAACATCAGCATCTCCACATCACCTTAATTCTATTCATTTACATCTCGTTAATGCTCCAACTTGCCTTATTTACAATACGTCCAATTCTTTCCTTCTCCGCGAAGCTAGATGGCACAAATTGCTGACATGTAAGTTATACTGGGCGACTATAGCTGATCAATTGCTTCTCCCCAACCATAACCCAACAGGTTCATCACCATAAGGTCACTACATGCTCCATAGTCCGTATCAACTTTCACCAGAATCACACAACTGTGATGGTGCAGCAGTAGTCCATTCCATATATCATTGTCTGCACTTTGTCCATATCAGTCAGCTTCCACAAACTACCAACCTTGCCATGTCATCTTGCCTGCGATCAGACAAGAGACTATCTCCCTCACTGTTTCAGCCTTTTAACACTTTGGAGCACCTTGTATGTTTCTGCTAGGCAATTTTACACATGGGGACACACACCCATGGCATGAATCTACACAAGATATGTTTTATTGTTCTTAGCTTTGTTTCTTAGTGTTCACTTTGCAATAGAAGTGATAGAAATCAATGCTCATGGCTCAGCAGAACATTGAACAGATACTTGAAGGTGTAATTCCAGCACCTTGAGCAGTAAGGTCCAATATTGTCCTACATGGGTCATGGTCCTTGTGGCGGTCTACTGTGCTCTCCACAACATTACCCTCCAGAGAAATTTGGACCTTAAAGATGATGAGGTCCTGGAAATTCACTGTTCATCAGAGAAGAAGGAAGAGAAGGAGGAAAGAAAGGAGGAGGAATTGGAGACGGAGATGATGTTGAACACAAAGTGGTGCCCACTGCATGAAGAGGTGGCTATCTTCTAATACCCTTTAAAAAGAGGTCATTCCTTCTTTGCGCACACCCCCACCCCCGGCCTCCAACATTAGTTCCCTCTGATGCAGGAGAAGACTTTGGGTCATGCTGCAGATCTCTCCTGCAAGCCTGAAACTGCCACAGTGATGGCTATACTGGGAGTCCAAAGTGTCACACATTCATCAGGCCCATCTCTGTTCCCACCATCACTGGGACCCTATCTAAAACCTTGCCACCCAATCAATTGGGAGCTTTTGCATCTGAGAGTATTATAATCAGTTTCTGATCAGAAGCAGATTTTCTGACTGAAAAGTTGGGACCTGTTTTCTAGATCCATGCTGAAAATTCAACCATTAGAGTCCAGGTATCGTGTGGTAAATTTAACCTACACTTCCTTCAAAGCTAACATATGCTTCCTAAGGTGTGTTGCCCAAAACTGAACACTATTACAGGTGAGACTTACCAGCCTTTTGAATAGCACAATTCTATCTGTTTTTCATTTATCATTCTAGATATCGAAGCCAGAATTCAATCTGCCTTTTTGATGAATTTCAAGATCTATTCATAACAACTTAAAAATCTATGTACATTGAACCTCTGTGTCTTTGGAATTCCAATTCTTCTAGATTTTAAGCATTTAGAATGTATCCTGTATGTACTTTTGATATCCAAACTGGGTCACTTCCAATGGGGTGCGACCTCATCAGAGTTGAATTTCAGACCCCAAACTTCCTTTCCTCCCTGTGTATCTTCATTTGATGGCATTGGCAACAAAGTAATTACTATCTAAAAGAAGAGCTAGTAGGAACTGCCGATGCTGGAGAATCTGAGATAAATGGCCCATTTCTGAAGAAGGGTCTCGACCCGAAACGTCAGCTTTCCTGCTCCTCTGATGCTGCTTGGCCTGCTGTGTTCATCCAGCTCTACACCGTGTTACCTCACTATCTAAAAGAAAGCTATTTGCTGACCTTTATAGATTTTTAATCTGAAGGTGCTATCTTGCAACCTTTAAAGTTCAGTTTTCATGGACAATATAGACAGAATCCTAGTCACAGGATACAATAACATATCACTCTCAGGCCATTTATTTTTAGTTGATTTGGAATTGTCTGGTTTTCACGGAAGAAGTATGCACTACTGCAGGTTACCCTTATTCCTTCAAAATCTTCTTCACCGCACCAGTGTCGGGGTATTAGGCCATTTAAGTTCATACCTTATTAGCAATTATGATGCATATCAGCATGTAAAACTCATCAAAACTAATCTCTCCAGAGACTTTCCAATCAAACATATTGAAGGTTGTCTTTATGTGTACTTTGCTCATGTCCGTGACACAGCGAAGGAAATGAAAAAATTGGACATCTGTAAGATAATTATAAAGTAATAAAATATAGCGACACAAGCTAAAAGTATTCCTGGATTGCAAATCTTTTATTTGTATATGTTAAAATCTCAATTATCTACCACAATCCTTCTCCCTAATAGGAACTGGCAGGTACATTTCAATTTTATTCTCAATCATGTTCTGTAGCAATATTTTGAACAAGGAATGAAGTCAAAAAAAACATTCAAAGCAACCTAAATTTGTATTACATATACTGAATTTAATCTCTGCTTGCATCTGTGAGTTTGATTATATCAGGACCATTAATGTTAGTGGATAGCACAATGAGGGTTCTAGCAGATCTATAGAAATCAATTTATAGCACCCATTATGTTGGTATATTAGAAATAAACTTTGAAGATAGAATATGAATATTGAATTCATACACTTATCATATTACACCTGAGCAATGGCAGTCTCCCTCTTGGTGAGAATCCTACTGACAGCTAATGTAAATATGGAAAGGTACCTGACACCATTGAAGCAGCAGAAGTGAGTTCCATCTTGCCAATTCACTATATCAAGGCAAATAATCCCAGTTTGTACCTTGGATAGTGCAACACTCCCTCAGTATTGTGCTAAAGTGCTCATTTAGATTATGTTTTTCAATCCATAAAAGGGATCTGCCCCCCACCTTCTGACTCAAAGGTGCGAGAGTGCTGCCAACTGAGTCAAGCTTAAGTGGGTTTAAAAATATTCTGTCAGAAAATCACTCAATCATTCTTCTACTGTTAAACATAGTCTACACTGGAATTAATTTTATTTCAGAAATCTCCTTCTTACCATTTAAGGAACTGCTGTCATGAACATCCAAGAGTTTAAAATACTCCAAAAGCACTGTAGTATTTCTGACTGACATTAAAGCATGAACTTTGTCAAGATACAAAAAATTGAAAATATATCCAGGCCTCAGTTTCATTTTTAAGTAGCTCTGAAAGTTGAATTCCAGGAATACCAATTATAATTCACTGCTGATAAGGTTACTAATGTAGATAAGTCTGTGACAATCCGAAATAAACATTGCTGTTAAACAACAAGCACTGTATCATTATGATGTCATGCTTTGTGATGTGTTAAATTATTTTCCAAAGTGAATTCTATTTTGTCTCACAGTGTAACTTCAGAATAGGGCAATTCATTCTATTCCTATTCCAAACTTTTAAAATGATTTTGCACTATCAGAA